AGACTCAATTTTTACTTAAATTTTTAATTATGAGATTTCACCATTTTTTAAAAATTCAATAGTTATCCTTATTCCTTTTTAAATTTGGATTTGTCCTCATTTAAATTTGAGTTTCTCATTCTTTAAATTTGAATTTATCTATTGGAGTTCTTTATATTAAATTATATTTTTTACCTAAATATTAATTTAAATTTAAATAAAAATTTGAATAAGATGTTCTCCCCGCAAATTATCAAGAGAGGCAATATATTCTGATCCAAGTCGGTCAATCAGTATGAAGTTGCGGTGGAGCTAACCGACCCAATATTTTCTTTTTTCGCTGAAACCGGGTTTGGTTTTACTTTTGACCCGATAAAAACAGTCCGAGCATTTGTACCCTATTTGTAAACAGGCACTACGAATATAGTCCCGTCTTAAAATAAAATATGACACGATCTATTAACACGCACACGAAATTAAAAGGTTTAGATTTTTTTTAAGACACTTTTTTTTAAATAAATTGATCCGATACAACGTGATTAATAAACGAATCGAATATGAGTGAAGTCAATTAAAAAAAGACATAACACGATTAATTTATATACTGGTTATACACGTTTTATATACGACATGAGCTCGATATAATACAATTCATTATACATGAATGGAAAATACTATGTATCCAAAATTTCTATCTCAAATATCTATTTCAAATAAAGGGAGACTATTAAATGAGTGGGTTCCATCAACTTTTTTAAATGGAACTCATTGATTCAATGGTCCTCTTGATTTGAGATAGAAATTTATGATACATAACATTATTCTATACGAATTAATAAACGAATTGAATATGAGTAAAATATTTTTTTGACATTAATCTTAGGGCTCAACATAAATCCACCTCGCCGACACGGTTCATCAGCCTAAACCATTGTGACAGAAATTCGCTGAAACCGGGTTTGGTATTTGTTTAAAAGAAGTCCAAGCATTTGTACCCATTTATAAACGGGAACTATAAACATGGCCATTGTGATAGAACAATCTTTTCTTTTTGCATTGAGAGTGTTGGAACTTCGATTCGGAGCAGTTTGATTCATCATTTTGTTCATTTATTCATTTCATTTTCAGGTATGTTTCTGATCCCATTGATTTAATTAATGAAATGAAGTTTTAATTCACTGTTTGGTTCATTCGTTCATTTCAGTGTCATGTATATTTCTGATCTCATTGGTTTGATCCATCGATTGATGAGTTGATTTGTTTAGGGTTTCTTGTGGTGGAATTCTTTTTTATTTTTTTAATAACATTGATTCTATCATTGGTTGTTTTATGGCCTATCATCTGAATTATCATACATCTATCCACAATTTTCAATGACTAATGTAACTATTACAACTAATTGAGACAATTCGAAACGAAAAATTTGATCGAGTACTTGGACATTAGAGAGCTGCAACTAACTATTTAAATTATATTTGTATTTGATCTGATAAGTTTTATTGACTATGTGTCAGTTACCTAACATAACTCTCTTCTTTTATTCGAACTTGCGACCGGATGTACACAAAAGTACATAGGCAGAGTTAAGTGCAACTATTTAATCTGGATGTCAAAGAAAAAACTCACATAAATAAGCTGAAATATTTGAGCCCAGGAGAAGTCCTTTTGATTGGATATTATGTTTCGAGTGATAATGAATTCGTCCATTCGTTTCACTACATTTGTTTCGTAGAAAAAAAAAAAACTTTGATGCATTGGAAGCATATACATGAACAAATTACAATTGATAACTTTGAGGGAAGCACATCATTGTAGACCTTCAATTGATTTCCTTGAATTTAAAAATCCCCCAACATGCTCAAGAACCAAGAGGCTGGACGGCCGGCGGAGCTTACTTATAGAAAAAAGATAGGTCGGTCAAATAAGAGGAATGCACAGCGGGCACTGCGCTCCTAGTCACTAAGTAGTTCTATTTTATCTTCCGAATTAGTAAAGTATTCAAGATATTGGCTACTTTTGCACAGTCAAGACATTTAAAAGTATGAAACTGAAGATCTGTCTATTTTATGCCTCTTTCAAATCTCTCTCCTTTCCTATTTTTGTTTTTTTATAGCGTACATACATTATTCATCATTTTAATAGCGATTCATTATAATAATGTATACCACTTTATGTCAAACAAAAAAAAAGTATGGTTTTTCTATTTTCTGAGGTTTTAGATTTTTCTGGATAAAAAGAAGAGTAGTTTTGGCCTAAATCCTTGAAAAATAGTGAACCTGATAAGAAAAAGAGATGTTAAAAGGAAAAAAGATAGGGAAAAGAGGGGTTTGGTGTTGTGTTTATTCATTAATCACTTATGCTTGCTTCTTGATCACTTATGCCTTAGCATCACTGCATCAGGATGAATAGTTAGGACGCATGCTCAACCCAAATTTCTCGTATAGAGGGAGTACAGGACAAATTTCATACAACCACTAAAATATGTTGACATGCGCTCCTAGTTTTCAGATATCATTCTATCCATGAACTGCAAAATCAAAAAGATATTCGAGGGACCCAACGTTGAGCTAGAGGAGACCGATCCGACGTCTAAGTCAGTATTGCGATCAATACGTGAATAGGCATGTGTATAAAACAAGAGAAATGGTCAAAATGTGTGTGTGTGTGTGTGTGAGGTATGGAGCTGAGAGTTCCCTATCTTTGGATCTTCACCCGTATTTTATGAAAAAAAAAAAAAGAAATATTTATGGACTGTACTTATTTTGGTGGAGTTAGTCAAAGTTTGACATTTCTTTCTTGAAATCTTAGCCCTTTATGTTATATGCCAGTTAATGCAATCTCTTTTATTAAATGATGGAACTCATCAGACAATGTCCTGTAAGAGGGGTTGGTGTGAGAGGTTTATGAAAGCAGTCGTGTACGTTGTGTTGCAGGATGACAGAGGCTGGATTTCTACCAAGGGAGAGGCTTGCTAAGAAGCAACAATATTTTCAGTGCATCAGTAAATACACACATCTGAAGGGGCCATATGACAAGATCACCTCAGTGGCCATTCCCCTTGCTTTGGCAGCAGCATCTGGAGTTCTCATTGTGAGTTTATATTTTTTCTGTGGGTGCACGAACTTTAATCGTTTGTCGTGTAGGCTTTCGCTGGATCTTATTATACGTTTTCTATTTATTCAGGTACGAGGGATCTATAATATGTCTCATGGACTTGGGAAGAAAGAATGAGGATATTTGTATCTGCACAATGAAATCCAAAATTGAATGAGAAGCTGCTCATTTGGTTTTGAATGAGAGCTCTTGATTTTTTTTTTGTAAAGTGCATCTGATTCATGATGTCACATACATTGCATTTTAACCTTTTTAAGTTTCAATGATAAGAATACATTTTAAGAAGTGTTTGAAACTCAATGCTTTGGTGGATAAGAAATAAAAAGTCACTGAAAAACTACAACTAGCTCTAGCTGCAAAAAGTAGTAAAATAAGTAGAAATGGAGGAAAGTTAGAATATGTTTGCCGCATCATATGGTACTATCATGCGATGTACATACACGGAGAGACTATCATACAACCAACTTGTGAGACCCACAAGTTGCTTTTGAAAAAGAAAATTTGACAAAATAATAAATAACCATTATTCATTGAAAATATATAATATTTTATTAGTGATGTACAACACATGACACTTTCGTATAATATGTTAATTGACTCACACAAATTTCTCGAGGGAAATGGGCATTCCTGCAGGCACACATTGCACACACCTAAAAAAAATGGTTCAGTAGTCTAGGATTTAGTCCAAGGTGGTACTCCATTAGTCTAAGAATAGGGGGGTGCCAATGAGCCGAAGTGAGCCAGTCATCAGACCAATCGAACTCAACTCAGTCGGCCGCAAAGAGCGATCATAGTTGGCTTGTGATTGTTATGAGTTTCAAACATTTTATTTTAACCTAATTCATCTTCAAGCTTATTGGATTCATCTTCCCTTTGTCCCTTTACGCGTTCGTACTCCAATACCACGAAACACTTCACTAACTAAAAAGAACAAATAAAAAAAAATTCTAAGTAAAGCCCGAGAAAAACTCATTCTTATTTTCATAGTCAGTTTGCTGCGTACTAATTACTACATACAATTTAGTCCTTTATTCTCGGCTTGTTTGACTTTTTGTCCAAAATTTGGTTCGGATCACTAGTTCATTATGGCAAATCAATATCTAAGCCACGACTCCATGAGTAACATTACTGTTCTCCATGTTATGAGGGAAACTACCTCAACATACGACATGTATCAAAGCAAAGAGCAACTGAGATCCCACCTTAAAGCATCTTGATGCCAGAGGCAGGTGTCTGTGAAACATGCTTGTGATGCAAAAAAAATGACGTACCTCTTACGTTAATTTTGCTTTAAATGGTCACACTTGAACGAGGTCATAAACAGAACAGAGAAATACATGATAGGCTACACATAGAATGGAGTTTTTAACAACAATGCACATTTGATTTGAGCTGCAGATCTTTGGGATAGCAGTTGGGAATTTTGGAGCATGAGAAGTGTTAATTAGGTTCAGATAGACTTCATTCAAGAACACCACCCCTAGAATCAATAAGAAAACAAGTGCTAAGTTTCAAATCAGTGAATAAACCGAAATGAAAGTCTAATCAGTCTACCTTTGATGAGAAAAGAAATTGAGATTTATGGAGCTTCCACTGGAAGGGTCTGTCCCACTAGCTTCAATATAACTATGCAATTTGATCCTCCTCGTTCAATCCATAAACACGTGCAATCCCATCTCCAATTGAGACCACTCAACCAATCTCATCAACTTGAAAATTCGTGAAAAAGTTGTTAATTCTACTTTTTAATAGTCGACTGGCTATTTATTAGATACATCTGTTATGACGCATCCATATTCTATGCATTTCAAGTAAGGAACTCAAATCTGCTACTTGATAAAACCACCAGTGTGCATAATACTCTGCAGAGCCACTAGATCAGGACTTCATTTCACTTTTAAATCCTATACTCTTTCCTTCACGACTGTTTTTGTGAGAACTTTGCTGTCCCACACGAGTAGTAAGGTCTCCTTATGCACTGGCTTTCTGCAAGCCTCCACCTTTTGGAGGTCTAAGGTGAACCTTTGAAGCTTACATCTTGCTATCGTCACCACACTCAAGAAGTACCTGTCAGCATACTGAAGCAACTCCACAATAGTCAGGATATACCATCCAATCTGAAGTCTAGACATAAAGGGAGAGAAGAGGGACACCGGAATGGATTCAAGGCAGAAAATTATATTGAACTATGACAACTACACGAAAAGCCACAACTTTTCAAAGGCACAATTTATGTTTAGAGTGATAGAATGGTTCCCCACCCAATGCCTGGAATGTGTGAAAACTTCTACTTTCCATAAATTTCGCTGAGTTTACACGCCAATGAAAGTTGTCTGTGTAACATGTCAGCCTGGCCAGTCCGTACAAGATAGTTTTAATCCACCCCAACCCAATAGAAAAAACAAAGAAAAAGTCGAATTTGTTCCTGAAGCCATAGCTATTTCAGTTGAATGTATTTTCCTGTGAACTTAAGTGTCACTGATCGGGACCATTAAACAATGAAGTGGCATTAACACACAATGAAGTGGCATTAACACGCATACAATAGCTAATGTATACTATTTATGGACAAAAGTAACTAAGCAAACTACTGATAAAAAAATACAGTCCTTTAGCTTACAGTTGGAATGTCAAAGTCACCATCCCTTGAATCGCACATATCAAGCAACACTTTTCGAAGCATTGGCATCTGGGGTCATCATAGGAGCACATCTTAGAGATATGGATTATTAGATGCCATTTCCTTAGGAAGAGCAATAAAAAGGTAAAAATGAACCGATGCCACCTATAAGCTTACCTTTGAGGCAGCATCAAGAATAAAATTTCTTGAAATTCCATCACCCTGCAATCAAAGGTTACAATTGAGATCACCAGTCAAATATTGCGAAGTCTATTTGTAGGCATAATTGTGATAAAGGATTGAAGAGTTGCTTTTTGTTGTTTTCTGAACAATGTTGATTTTTAGTGTTGGAAACGTGATATCAAAAAATAATGGAAATACTCTTGTGATCCTATAAGAATGCATCCCCAGAAGGTTGGTTAAACTGTGCTTTTTATTGAAGCAAACCACTGCAGTCCAGTTAAACCGATTCAATCATATTGTAATTGTTTATCAGATGCTTTCAAGGTACACTAGATGTGGCCACTATTATCTTTCTGTCTTTGTATTATATTAAACTCAATGCAACAGTAGTCCCAACCAAGTTCTTTATCTACTCAGATCTGCCTGAAGCTACATACATGGGAATATATTTGTAAACATGCATGACTATATGTTTTACATTGGCCATCTATGAGCTACAAGCTCATTTGCTATTGGTGATGCTCCAAGGTTAATAAAAAATTAAGGCCTGCAGAGGGACATTTTTCAAATTGTCCTGTCACATTTTACTCTGGCTGCTTGAGATCAAATCACCATTGCGTAGTTATTCACAGAATGAAAAGAATTAAAGACTCTTTTCTATGAACTCTGATTTTGTATGCTAGAAAAATATACATAACCATATTATATACACAACCATATGTATACATAATATTAGAGGTCAAATCACCATTAATCAATAGGTTTCCATTCATTAACATTCTACATATTTTGGTAGACTATCCACAAGCACCATGACAAGGAACAAAATACAACTTGTGCAGGTTATCCGGTACAATTTTGATATCCAATAACAAAACATGAAACCCATATGACGTTTTCCTCCACTGTACCATTCACCCCACGGTAGAAAACAAAGGCATTTGTTTGATATATGTTAAATGACAATTCATGCTACCAGAACCATAAAAATCACTCTTCATTCATATTACTTCCATAGATAAACAATCAAAGATGCATGGAAAGAAGCAGTTACAAAAGACTCACATTATGACGCAGTAACAGATCCTCAAGGGCTGAACAGTCAAAAAGTGAGGTAACACCATTGATCGTCACTTCTCCACAGTCCTAAACAACAAAATGAGCACATGTCAAACATCTGAAAACTCAAAGGGAAATGGACAACCATGGATAAGGTCGTGTAAACAGGAAAAAAAAATTTGAAATTTCAAAGCCTTCACATTGTCATGCTTACACACAATTTTTGGCAAATAGTAGGTCCAACTACATAGAGCAGGAAATAGGAAAATGACAGTGGCAAACCTCTAGATGTATAGAAACCAAGCCTGGCCAACCACTTGAAATGATATCTTGGGATTCTACAAGGAGAATACAATGACAAGGAAAAGATATATTCTTTATAGCACCAGCAAGCAGTAATAAAATTGGCTCTTAACTAGAACCAAACTTGCAGTAGAGCATTAATAGTAACCAAATATGAAGCATTGCAATGCATGAGCATCTTATAAATTAACAATAATTGAAGACTCAGAAAATATACGCAGAATATGCATTGAAGTTCATGCAATAATCACAGCTGAATGTAAACAGAATGCCTTGTAGATAAAAGTCACTGACCCGTGTTAAGAAGTGCGCATTCTAGCAATGAAAGCTCAATCAAATTCGTACAATTCTGAGTCAGAATAACCAAATCATCATTGTTCATCCATGGCGCCACCCTTTCAAGTTTCAATTTCCTCAAATTTGGCATATGGCACTTAAAGCTTAGTGAGGATGTCTCACCAAAACAGTAGCAGAGTGCCAATACTTGCAAGTGCCTCAAGGTTTCAGTAATATTTGCTACTACAGAATCCGATATTACCTGTTAAGAAGAACAAATAAAAATACTAAACAAATCATATGCATCCGGATTTGGATTTAGATTTGGATAGAATTTTTAAAGAAAACAATGAATAATAGACCACAGATGACAGAAAAAAGTGAGGATGTGTTTGGCAATGAGTCCACGATGGTGACGTTGATCATATAATAGAACAAAGATTTGGATGGAAGCATTTGATGCTAACAATGACAATGCAAACTCTGGAGCTCATGAATCGCCATGAAGAAAGGAGACAATCAAATGGTTAGGAAAGGGGCCGGTCGAACACCCATCCAATCCCCTCCGAAGTGTAAGGCAGTCGGCATTTGAGACATTAGTACAGTGTATTTTTTGGATTTAGTTTGCATACCTTTGTTCAACTTCCTGAGGGGTATTGATACCTAAACTAAAAATGATTAGGGGGTTTGTGAGTCTCATCTCAGCATTTAATGGCTGATACTTATATCCAAGTATAATGAGTGCAATCCAATCAAATCCCCTCAAGATTTACCTCCTCAGGGGAGTGGACACGTGCTCGGGAACCTCTGAGCATTAACTGTCCATCTCCGATCATTTAAGAACCTCTACTCAGTACTTGACACCTGTGCCCGAGCAATTACTGCCCAGGAATAAGCACCTCAGGTCTTGCCGAAAACAATGGGTCGACATAATGACAATTAATGCTTTGTAACGGTGGCTATCTTTGTGGGTCTCGAAGACAAGGAGGCTCATTAATGGCCCTGTCACAGTCACTCAAGTCGTCATTAATGAGCTGTCATGTCTTCTTTAATGTTGAGCTCGATAAGTGGTGCTCAACGTTTTCATGCCATAACTTCTCGGCGTCCTCGCCTAGTGCCCTTTGCAATTCATAACAGCTATAAATTATCCACGTGTCAACTTGTGACTGTTGAGCCGCCTAAAGTCCTGTCATAAATTATATGATATAACCCATAAATTTTATTTTTGGAAGTCGGGTTCTCTTACTTGTAGATAACTCATATTTAACCATTGGGAGAATTAAATTCAGACTCTCCTGAAATTTGTCACTTAATTACTCAGACCCCTTGATATATGAAATATTACATACAGACCTCCTAAAGTTTGTACGCGCAGCACACTTAGATCTCTACCGTTAATGTTCGTTAGTATATCCATTACTAAATTATATCCAGACCCTCTAAAGTTTGTAAGTGTTGAATAGTTAGACCCCTCAAGTTTAAAATGTTATATTTAGACAAAAAATAATCAAATTAAAGATATAACATCAAATACTTTAAATTTTATAACTGAAATTCATGTTTTATTATGATATTTATTGAAACAAAAAACAAAAATAAAAGTTTAATTTTTTTTAGAAAAAATTATAATTATTATAGAATTATGTTATCTATTGGAATTTAATTTGACTGTTTAAATGATCAAATTAAACTATCAAATTACCTCAATTAAAACTATAAGATATTACGTTTATTACAATTTGACCCATTATTCAATTTTTTAGTCTTATTCCAATAGATAGTATAATTTTATATTAATAATAATTTTTTAAGAAAAAAATAGATTTTTATTTTTAATTTTATTTCAATAAATGAAAATTTTGGTTAAAAAATTCATGTTATATTATGAATAACTTAGACCTTTGTGTTATTTTTTAGTTTTATTCTAATAGATAGTATAATTATATACTAACTAAAAAAGTTTTAAGAAAAAATTGGATTTTTATTTTATTTTAATAAATGAAACAATAGACATGAATTTTGGTTGTAAAATTTAAAATATTTGATATTCTATTTTTGGTCTAAGTAAAATATTTTAAACTTAAGGGATCTAAGTATTATATGCCTACAAACTTTAGGGGGTCCGAGTGTAATTTACTAACGGGATATTGATTGCAGAGGTCTAAGTGTTATGTGCGTGCAAACTTCAAAGGGTTTGTGTATAATATTTTAAATATAAAAAATTTGAGTGATTAAGTGACAAACTTCAAATAATCTGGTTGTAATTCTCCCTTAACCATTATGTGTTTGGGCTTTTATATGATAATGTGTATTCCAAGTGAGTTGCGGTCACGAGTCAAAAAAAATATATTTTTACACCCAATAATACCCCGATTGATACACACTCGCAACTAGAGGTGTTCATGGGCCGGGTTACTCACGGGTCTTGTTACCCGGTCCAAAAAAATAGATCCAAAATTCGATAGGCCTGATAATTTGTCCACTCTAGCCCCGAGTCCAATATCCTTAAAAGGAGGGCTTGAGTTTACTCTCAAACCTATTACCCGACCAGAAGCCCAGCCCAAGAGCCCGCCCGTCAAGCCCACTTGCCAAGCCCAACCCACCCACATAGCTTGCCCACACTTTTTTTGAAAAAAAGTTATACTTTTAGACCATTAAATTTGAAACTCGGAATTTGAAATTTTAAAAATTTAAATATTATAAATAATGTATTATTTTATTTTTCATGTATTTATCATACAAGTTTTGAAGGGTAGAGTAATGCAAATGATAGATAAGTGAGTATGTGTCAACCTAGTTAGAATAGATTCATTATAATGGATGTAGTTCATCCCCTAATTAAAAATAAGATTATTTATTATTTTATTTTTATCTATTTTGACTTTATTTTTGATTCAAAAATATAATTTACTCAAATATTAAGTTACAAAAATATTCATTATTTTTAAATGAAGTTATATATAAAAAAACCCATAAGTAGGCCCACCCACAGGTCATCCCCAATAGGCTCGCGGGTAGCTTACCCCCACTCAAAGCCTGGTCTGGTTCATCTGATAACTCACTTGGGTAAGGGCTTCAACCTACACTACTCAGGTCCGACCTGAAAATTTTTTCAGGGCCTAGCCCAATCCAACCCATGGACACCCCCTACTCACNCCTAAACCGAATATTGATGTGTCTAACTGTCAGTCCGATCGTGACTCTGACAACAACAACTCAGAACATTATTTAGTCAGTAATGTTCCGTTCACTAAATTTTAGGGTTAAATTTAGAGCATAAATGACATGATTAAATTTAGAACATAAATGACATGATAGTTAATTTAAATTTTTTTATTTAATATCATGTCATTTAGGCCCTAATAAAAACTATAAATAATATACTGTCATATCATTTGTGCTCTAAATTTAGTCTCAAAATTTGGTCAGCATAGCATTATTATTATGGGGTCTTTGAAAACCGATACACCAAATTAGACTTATTTAGCAAAAAATAAATAGAACAAAACATGAGTTAAAAAGACATAAATGTTTATTTTATGGTTATTTAATTTAAAATTTCTTATTTTTAATGCACCTTAATTCATGTGTTTTTTTTAATATATATAAATACGTATTTAATGAACCTTTGATTCATGTGTGTATATATATATATATATATATATATATATATATATATATATATATATATATATTAGTTCTTTGATTCGTTCCTTGTAGATGTAGGGCAATATGTGGAGAAATGGGCTACCTGAACCTCCATCCAAGATGAGTTGTAAAGGTCAAAGTAATTAAGCGTATAAATATTGAAAATACAGAGAATAAAATAAAGACTCATAAACTTAAAAGCATGTTATATATTTATTATCATTACAAATTTATAGGCACTTGTGCAAGGGACATACATATATACCCCAAAATTAGCCCATTGGGGAGGACTCGAACCCGAAGGCTCTCCTCCAATCCTCAAATAATTAGATGATCCTACAATTCTTTTTTAATATTAGGGATTCATCCACATCAGAATATCCAATTCATTTGATAATTTAAAATTTTAAACTTGCTTTAAATAAGAAAAGATTTGCTCACAAACGAAGTTAAGATTTTATCTTGAGGGAGGCTAATAATGACATAGACAAAAATTTAATTCGATGAGATTATTCAATGGTCATTGTTAATGATAATTTTTTTTTATAAAAAATCTAATAAATTTACTTTTTATGCAATGTTATCGAAAAAATTAATTTTGAACACAAAACTCAATCATAAAAATTCAGTTATGACAATATTATTATCCTCTTTTTTTCTTATTTATAATGTAATATTATGTCTTTAAATAAATTGTGGTCACAAATGAAAGTTTCATATGATACCGTAATAAAAATAAATTATAAGTCAACGAACTGCTTTTGATATAAATCATATTTGTATCTCTATATTTTTTTTATAAAAAAAGTCACATGTTTTTTGTTTACGATCATTAAAATAATTCAACAAGTGTTTTCGTTAATACAAACGACATTCATTCATATGATTACATATTAAATGATTACTGAATATTAAGTTATTGATATTTTTGAATTAATTACACGAAATACTTAAACATTGAGTATTTTAAAAAGTTAGAGGTTAGAAATAATTTTTTTTTAAAAAAAAGTATAAGGAAAACAATGAAAATTTTCAAAATTTAAGGGGAGCCATGGCTCCCATAGCCAGCGGCGGATTTACAGTGGGGACAGCGGGGGTTGCTGCCCCCATTGAAATTTTAGAAAATTTTGGGGTCTAGGTAGTATTTTAAAATTTTTGAATATTTTTACAAATTGCTGCCACTGAAAAGTTATAGGTATAGTTCAATATATTAGGAAAACATGTGGGTGTGTTTCAAAAATATAAAATTAGATTAGGAGAACACTTCTTGCCTCCTCGTCCCGACTTTTCATTCATATCTTCGGACTTCCTTTCTTTCTTTGGCCCCTCATGTCGTTTTTATTGTGAATCAGAAGTTCCTCTCTTTAGTTTACCTCTGTTCTCTTTTTATGTTTTCATTGTCTTCACTCGTCTCTATTTTTGTTATCGATTCGATCATTATTTAACCAGTTGATTGCGAAAATTACTAAGAGTTTAGAAAATTCTATGAGAGCTATTGTACAAAAGGTAACTCATACATGATTTCTTTGATTTTAAAAATTTTTGTATTTTTTGGCATGCGATAAGGGCTTCTACCCATTTGGTTTTTTGTACCCATTTTATTTTTTACCTAACAGGGGATGATAGAACTGCAATTATCTATATTTGAATTGAACAATGAAAATTCAAACAATTTATTTTTGATCTCTTTAGATCAAAAATAAAAGAGTTCAAAAGAATTTAGAAGTCAAATACTAATTATAAAAGAGTTCAAAAGAACTCGAAAGTCAAATTAGGTATAAAAACAAAAAATATATGAAAGTATAAGGATATAATTAATTTTATAAAAAATTATGCTAGCGATACATGACGTGCGTTACACGTGAACATATTTAAATAATATTTTTTTTGTTAAACTTATAACAAATATATATTATATATTGAATAAATAAATTATGTGCTGAAGAATTAATTCGGATTTTAATTTTTACTGAATCTAGTTATTAATTTATGCATGTATTATACAATAATTTGAGTTATGAGAGTTATTATTGTAATTAAAGACCTAAAGTTATAAAAATAAGTAGAGCGAATGACTCTACTTATAACAAAACATATGAAGGTATAAGGACATAATTATTTTTATAAAAATTAGACTAATAATACACGACGTGCGTTGCATGTGAACATATTTAAATAATATTTTTTTGTTAAACTTATAAAAAAATATAGATTATATGCTTAATTGAATTGAATAAATAAATTACCTGTCGGAGAATTAATTCTTATTTTAATTTTTACTCAAATTAATTATTAATCTATACATGTATTATACATTAATTTGAATTATTAGAGTTATTATTGTAATTAAAGACTTGAAGTTATAAGAATAAGTAGAGCGAATAAGAAATTAAAAATTTTTCACATATGCTACATTTATAAATAGTATAGATATAAATATATGTTTTAAATGTTTAATTGCCACTCATTGTTATTTAATACTTAAATAAGAACTCGGGTCGAACCAATTTTTAGTAATTCAGTTCAGATCCAAGTTGATCCCCGTAAACCCCAAGTCCAGCCCGCATTCAATTCGGGTTAAGAAAGAAAATTTGGAGGGCGGTCCTACTATGTGGACTTGTTTGGAGATAAGTCCAGTAAGGAAATTTATTGGAGTTTAAATCCATGTTTAAACTTATATGTAGGTACTTAAGTCCATTTTTTTTTTAAAATCTTAATATTACCCCTAACGGTGTTAATTTTGTCCAATTATGGAAAGTCCAATAGGTTAGATCTTTAAAGTATATATAGAAACCTTAGTTTGAGTTATATATGGAAATCATTTTTCATTAAAAATCCTAATAATTAAATAAAGAATATATGAAATGTATATATTCTGCTAGCTATATATAGAAACCTGATTGACGAATTAATTCAGATTACAAGTTTTCCTTATCAATTCGAATTCAAATTCGAATTCTTAATCAATTTTAATCTGTTATACTTTTGAATAATAAGCTTTTGTGTTTGGCAGAGGGTTCGAAGGTGATAGAAGCAGTCGTGATACCCTGTGTTACTAATGATGTTACTGCCAATGTTATTATTTAATGATCATTACATATTGTAACCAATCGTGCAACAATGTTACAAATTAACTTGATAATGAATAATTACAATGGATTTTAACATATCAATTCCACGTACAACACAATTTTAGCTTTCTAAAATTGAATGGTTATGTTAGTTGGAACATTTTTTGACATGTTACTGTTTGAGTTACTGTTGCGCTTACAAATTGGACATAATTTTCTTTGTTTTCCAAAACGTTCAATTACAAACAAATTTCCAAACCTATATCAACATATCAATTTAATATGAAGATGTAACATCCAAACCACAATTCTACATGTTTGAATACTCCATTTAAACAAAGTACCAACCAGTAAACAATTACAACCAACTTCTGCTAAAGAATGAATAACTTTACAACATCTCCAACTTTCATTTTTTTGGTATATTTTTTCAATCTTCATCTTGTCTTGTAGTCTTCAACAGTTCATGCATTCCTATGGTTTATAAATGTGGTCACCATATGTATCCGTAGAACATTAAGTTGTATTGGTTTCAATTTCTCTTCTATTTCCTGTAATTGCCATCAACCAGTAGCACGACTTTGTAATATCAATATGAATATATTAGACAATTGTAATATTAATATCCTACACAAACATATAATATCATGATACAAAATAGTAACACACACCATATGGTAACATACAAAATAGTAACATACAGAATATAGTAACATGATATAGTGATATGATACCAAGCGTAATGAATATAAACCAACTATAAAAAATTTTGTGCAAGAGTGACATATACAGTTCCACCAAATTACATGATGTAAACATAGTAATATCAAATTAGTAACATTAAATTCTTAACTAAATCTCAGTAACATCAGACAAACACAATTTTGTGTGCCTGTATGTTACAGTTATATGGTTTGAAGATTGCACTATACATAACATTGTCCTAAAATAACTGAAACTGTTCAGTACTTTTGTAATATCATGATTACACTAGTTCATGAACATCATTTTCAGTTGTTGAATAAAAAGGACTCATTCTCAATCAACACTTTAAAGCAAACAATAACCCTCTCAAAAGTTTGGAAACAAATTAGGGTGTATCAAAATGTATCGGTCCACCGTAATCTCGTGTTTTTTTTCACAATAACACAACGAATAAAAATGGAATTATTTTAAGAAACCCAAATAGTAACACAAACTCAACCCCAATTTACACTTTTCACTACCAATTGCAAACATTTTTAGACATATATTATGTAACATGCACTTTTAACTTTCATAGTAACACCAAAGTTTTGTGCTTAGTAACACATCGACTTTCGCGAACTACAAGACTATATGGTGTTCACAGTAACATCAATTTTCAAAAAATTATAGTGAAAATACGATCCACAAATTGAATATTTACAATATTTCTAGTAGTAACACACCGTCAATAGTTAAATTAGGAAACTTAACACCAATCAAGAACATCAAGATATCGACATTATGAGATATATTTTTCAAGTCCTCCATAGTAACATGATATATTTCACAAACACACAACCAAGAAATTTCAAATGTCTTACACAACGACAAAACAACAAAATCAAAAAACATAACACTTTAATATAGTAACAAGGAAATCTCAATTTTATGGTTATGAATGCAAAAAAAAAAAAAAAACAACAATTGACAGGTTGAACGATAAATCGTGTTTTTTTAAATCAATAAGCTAGTTATTAAACTTATATAAGTCAGATCATCAACAACACCAACAATCTCTCAATTACACAGAAATGCCACAAAACACAGACAAGAAAGAGTACCCACAAGAACCCTCTTTTCTCATCCATTTCCTCTCCTCATTCTCCAAAAAAATAAAAACAAAAACAAAAAAAACACACACAAAAACATACATTTAAGACAAATTGAAAAGGGTTTGTGGAAAGGGAGAGTACCCAAATGCATAGCCAATGTGATGGTTGAATTGAGGATTAGGGATGACAATCAGACGACTTTGACGACACTAATTTTTTTTTTCACCAAAGAAAATAGTACACAGCCAGCCTTTCCATTTTCCAGAACATACTTTGACGACACTAGAAGTGGCATCAGAGTCATTATCATTAACAGAAGCAGGTGGATCTGGACTGAGAGGGGCACGAATGGTGTCATCGTCGAGGTCGTAATATGGGTTGAGGTTGCGATCTATGACTTCATGACCCTTTTCGAGACATGGTTTACAAGCCATTTCTATGGCTGCCCAACACAGTGCCAGTCCACTATTGTTATGATTGTTGTCGTCAGTGCCCTCACACTACAACAAAAATTATTTTTTGCGAAGATTTTTTTCGTCGCCAAATTAAAAAAAAGTTGTCGCCAATTATTTTTTGCGACGTTTTCTTTTCGTCGCGTGTTTGTCACAATAACCTCGTCGCAGAAAGTATTTTGCGATGCAAATTTATTTTCATCGCAAAAAAAAAAAATTTGTGACGAAAAAAAAACATCGCTAAAAATAAAAGAATGTAGCTAAAATCTATTCCACTAGCGTACGAAAATAAAAAATAATAANCCTTCAGCAAAGGAGTTCACTCGAATTCTAAGGAAATCCGCATCAGATTTTATCATTCTAGCAAAATAAGAAGACCATGAATGCCATNATCGCTAAAAATAAAAGAATGTAGCTAAAATCTATTCCACTAGCGTACGAAAATAAAAAATAATAATTTAATTAATTTTTCGCGACGTAAAAAAATCGTCGCGAATGATATTTTACATAAATAAAAAATATTAAAAATAATAATTTAATTATTTTTTCGCTACGTAAAAAAATCGTCGCACATAAGATTTTCATAAATAAAAAATATAAAAAATAATAATTTAATTAATTTTTAGCAACGTAAAACAATCGTCGCGAATAATGTTTTTGATAAAAAAAATGTAAAAATAATAATTTAATTAATTGTTGCGACATAAAACAATCGTCGTAAATAATTTTTTACATAAATTAAAAATGTAAAAAATAATAATTTGATTAATTTTTCGCGACGTAAAAAAATCTTCGCTAATAATTTTTACGTAAAAAATAATTGAATAACAATGTTGCGCGACGATTTTAATTTCGTCCCAAAAATGTTCTTTTTTTTAAAAAAATAATTCATAAAAATAATATTTCAATAAAATTTTTCACTTGTACACCATTAATACCTGTGTTCAATAAAAAACTAATACATTTAATACATTTCGCACTTTTTTTTTAAAAAATAAAATTTTATTTCAAAAAAAAAAAATGAATTACAAGAATCAAAGAATATGAAGTTCTAAAAATAAAAAAAATGGCTTTAATCCTTCAAGAGGATTTAAACCATCTCTAATTACATTTAATGTCTCTTAAACTTGAACACCTTTGGCGGTCCAGCTCCATGCCTTGAAATATCATCTCCAAGCTCAACAAATCAGTACCATGAGCAGTTTAAATCAACAGTGACATTGCTCGGAGCCTCTTTATTTATGATAGATTAATGTAGAGAACTCCAGTTTATCATGACTAATTCAAGAGCTTTTTAATCTGGTCCTTGTTGTGAACTAATACCTCTGAAGTTCAATAATTGCATTGATCAGAAGATCCCTATCAATAGGGCAAGAGAGAAATGTTAAGAAGGATTTGAGCATAAATAACTCGTATATCAATGCTCAAGGTAAGAGCATAAATAACTAATATACTTCAACTCCTTTTATCTTATAGGCAAGCGAGAAATCTTATAACTCGTATATCAATGCTCGAGGATTAGTATAAATACTAATATTCTTCAACTCCTTTTATCTATCAGAACAAACATGCAGAAAATATCTCCAAAACCACGTTGCAGTAAGTGAGGCTCCACGTTGCATGAAGCTTATGTCTGAACTAAATGACTAGAGAGTAAAAGGAATGCTCCTTAATTCCCTATGTCAATCAGTATTGCAAAGAGAATGTACTTCACTCACCAAAACAATAACGTAAAAGTTCCAATTCATTTGCTGGGCTGATTCGGGCACCATAAATGAACATTGCAGTGACTGTCCAACAAAGACAGCAAGCAGGACCAGCTGAAAGCACCAAAAACCATGAGATAAAGCTGAAGTCCAGCAGGGAAGCAGTAGCTAAGAGCCAGCAGCTGAGGAGAGTCGTTGAAAATCCATTAACATCAGCCTAGCAAAGTTAGCCAGAAAAGTGGCAAAGAAGAAAAGGGAGAGCCAGAAGAGAGCAGCTGAATTCTAGCTATGAATCCAGCTGAAATGAACTGGTAAACCAGCAAAGGATCAGCTTCATACCAGACAAAATCCAAAAAATAGCATAACAGAAGGCATCAGCAGCAACAGGCAGACTGTTCACGTGAACAGTCATGTAAACAGTGCACAACACAACACAAAGGAGAAAAAGAAGCCCTGTAGCATAACAGAACAATACAACACCATTCCAGTCAAAACAGAACAATGCAACACCAAGCCAGAACCTCAAATAGCAGGAAAACCAAATGAAGAAGAGGAAGGCCAACAAGGGTTGGCTTTAACCCTTCAACATGAAAAAACCTTTGAAGTTAGAACCAATTAGGAACTTTCACCAACCAGTTGGAAATACCCTGCCCTAGAACCAGCAGCCTAGAAGCACATCACACACTGCATCCAAACTGATACTGAACCTAGAAAGCCGTTTAAAACTGCCCAGAACACCAAGCAGCACATGCACCTCCACAACATCGATAACACCTCCCAATCCCTTAACAGTGCACACAAGCAAAAGAGGGGATGACTAGAAAGGAGGAACAGGCAAGGCAATCCCAGCACAAACCCCTCACAGCATGACCCCTAAACCACATCAAAGCACTTGCACCATAGCACACAACCACATAGCAGCAGACTGACAGCATAGAAGCACCTAACTAGGAAAGTCACCAATAACCAACCTCAAGCCAATGACCACAACCAAAAGGACGGAGAAGCACAACAAGTGACACCAGAGGCACACCTCACCAAACATAACAGAAAATCCCTGACATTACACAAAACTCCTTCTCCCAACTGAACTCAAACAATAAAATAGCTCACTGCCCAGCACCCCAAGCAGCACCTGCACATCCACATTAATCATAATATCATCCAACCCCATGTCTGTTATCACATACACTCATCTTCTTCAATCTTATAGAAGGCATCATGCCTTGGTCCTACTGAAGAAGTTCTCTTCCAGCAGTGGGCAGCTTTCCATTTTCAGAAAAATCAAAGTTTCTACCGTAAAGGACTACATAAGAAGCCAGAAAATTCTGCAATGATATTGGCATCTTGATACACATGCTTGATCTGGAAATGCAACTTTCCACCAAGTAATATCCATGATTTTCGGTTAACTATAGAAGAATATTACTAGAAAAAATAGTGTGCACCCAAAGATAAGAATAAGAAGAACGTACTGAATATTTCTCTTAAATGTATTTCATTCACATTCCTGGTGAGCTCATCAACACGAAGAACAGAGACTCAGGAATAGGTGAAGTTTTCTTGAAATCAGATGCAAATGTGAACATAAGTAAAAGCACTAATAAGTAATAACAATTAAAAATAAAGTGAATATCATATAATCTTCTCATATTGTAACTTAAGCAGCCAAATGACCAGCAAAAATGCTACGCAGTTTAACAGACTAACAAACTGAGTGAGAAACAGAGGAGGACTTACATTAACTTGCCATGGATAACGAGAATGCTTACAGAGTTGAAATTTTTCCATATCAAAGTCTCTAACTCCACAATCATTATTGGAGGCTATAAAATGAACTGCCCGACCCATTAAGAATGCAATCAGTAATGTCTATGGATATTTCATCACGGTCTAGTCCACTTGCAGAATGCAGATTGAACATTTTTGATAAGATGCAATCCTTAGATAATTACTTTGCATACTCTGCAGCAATAACCCACCAACACAAAATTTTCTAACATAAGCAAGGTAATATAATTGAAAAATGCGAGTTCAGGTAACAATGACATACACCAAGGCAAGAAGATGGAGAATACTAGTTGGAGAAATTTTGAGTCGTACAAAAGTTTCATGCTCTAGCTCTTTCCTAAGAATATCAGCTGCTACAGGATCAAGTTAAACACCATGCAGGTCACCGGATACACTATGGGAACGAATCATGCTTGAGGAAGCTATAGGCATCTGCTCTCCATTAGCATTTACATGGTCTAGTAGATTCTGAAACAGGGTTTCACAGTCAAGAGCCTGCTCATTTAACTTTGAACAACAATTCAGTAAAAGGTTGATTTTTTTTCCAGAGAAGTAGAAAGTGAACCAATAATCTTCATTTCTTAGGATTTACACTTGCTAAGTATTTTGTAGAAGTTTTCTTATGCAGCATTTCCTACATCAACATGAAACTCAAATAAGAAAATGCAGTGAATGAGAAACACTACCACAAAGTAAAACTGTTAGTCAACTGCCTTGCCACGCATGCAAGTCAATATGTGATAGACTTGATAACTTTCAAAAATGGTAGAACAAGATTGTTGTCACAAGTTCAATTCATCTGGTACAAAAAAGGAAAGAAATACATTAATAAGTTATCAGTCAAATTTTTAAAAAACATATAGGTTTTCTAAATCTTAAGTGCTGAAATTTTTAGTTGTTCCCCGTTCGCTGTCACGGCAAACGGAGTTGAAACAAGCCGATTGGCCCCCTTAGCTCCAAGTTTTAGTTTTTATACTTCTTAAGTGTTGAACATAAAATGATAGTAAAAAGATACTAAGACTCAGGTTGCATGTAATCTAAATGCATTCTACTGCCTATGGTATGCAAGTTGCATGTTTTGTGGGGAAACTAATAGAGTAGGCTTAAAAAACTACTTAATAGAGTCGAATCTTCACTTAATGAGTCATTGTTTTTCTTGGAAATAACCTTGAATGCCCTTACAATTATGTGTAGTTATTTTTTTTTTTTAACCTTTTGCTGATTCTCTTTAATACTTAGATTAACCAGCTATTCTCCTGATGTAATGTTTTGGGGTACTTGAATGGTTTGGAGTCTTCATATAAAGGAATGTGTTTTAGTAGGCCATAAAGGTTATAAAGATAAGGATTTGGATCTCCTCAATATCAGTTATCAAACTTTCCATAGTTTAGCCCCCAATGCAAAGGCAATTCAATTAAACCCAATGCAATTCAATAAAACCCAATTCAATATCATACCAACAGGAACAAAAAAATTTAACCCAATGCCCATAGCTGTCCAAAAATTTAGAAACATCTAGAAGACTAACAGCAGAATCAACTAATTCCTTTCCACATACTTAGTTCAAGCTAAGCAATCAATCAAAAAACCAACAATTATAATGAAAACTATGACCCCAGCACTGAAAATAGATGCAACCCAATTCAAGCAAGATGTCCTGTGTGTCCCACTCATAGCTATAGTGTTATCAATCGCTAAAACCACAACCGTAATTGGGTCCAATAAATTAAACCCTTCAGCAAAGGAGTTCACTCGAATTCTAAGGAAATCCGCATCAGATTTTATCATTCTAGCAAAATAAGAAGACCATGAATGCCATAACCCAGCAGCACCAACAACGGCCTCTAGTAAAATATTACCCGTAGCTATAAAAGCAAGAAAATCACTCAACTCGATTCGAAGAAATGAGAAAGACCCACCTGCCACAGGTATTTCCATAGCAATTTCAGTGTAACAGAATACTGATAGCAACACAGAGAGGCCTGAAGTGGCATAAGAAAGAACTATAGTTAGGCCAGCATTGTTGTGGAGAGGTTTTGGAAGGAGGGTGCTGGGAAAAAGTCTTGTTTGCTGAATTGCCAGTAGGATTTTGGTGGTGGTGGTTCCATGGCGGAGGATTTGGAGTGAGAGGCGAAATGGGTATTGAGAGAAGTGATCAAATCTTGAGAGATTTGAGAATCAGTGTTAGAATCAACCATTGTTGCTAAAATGTAGGCTCAAAGGAAAAAAATTTCAATATCCACCAACTGATTTCAATATAAGAACACATCTAATTAACAAAAACAACTCACCAAAAAATATTTGGAAAAACAAGAACAAAAATTTATATAAATCCACAAACAGAGATTCAATCAATCAAAAAACAAGAACTATGACACAATTGAAACCATAAAGAAACAAATTTGAAGCTTTAGGGTTTTACCTTCGCATATCGATAAGAAACTCAGTTAAGGGGAGGGGTTTAGGTGAAATGAGAATACCTGAACCAACAAACGATGGTCTGAAGCAGCAAACGATGGTCTGAAGCTTCGATGGAGGTCTGAAGCTTAGATGGTCTGAGTCTGGCAAAGAGAGGTAGAATACTTGAAGCTTTGAGCAAATCTAAAGCTTCGATGGAGTTTTGAGGCAGAGAGAGGCAGGGATCAATGGGGTTTTGTGGATAATCCATGAAGAGCCAGAGAGAGGCAGGGATCAATGGGGTTTTGTGGATAATCCATGAAGAACCAGAGAGAGGCAGAGAGAGGCTGAGACTGGCATAAGGGATTTATCTGGGCTAGCTACACTTATTGAGCGAAAAACATGTTATGGGAAATAGACAGTCAGATAGGAAAAATTTATATTCTGCGACATTTTTAGAAATGTCGTTAAAAACTTTTAAGGTCTAATTTAAAATTTCTAATCATCAATTCCCGCCATTCATCACGCCAATAAATGTTAAAAGAACATGACTTTTTGGCGACGTTTTTTTAAAAATGTCGCAAAAAACATTTTAAGTTTAATTTAAAATTAATAAATTTACATTCTACGACAAATTTCTAAAAACGTCGCAAAAAAATATTTTAAGTTTAATTTAAAATTAATAAATTTATATTCTGCGACGAATTAAAAAAAATGTCGCCAATTGACATTATTATTTCATTTAACTTTAATAATGAAAATTTATAAACGTCGCAAAAAAAACATTTTAAGTCTAATTTAAAATTAATAAATTTACATTTTGCGACGAATTAAAAAAAAAACGTCGCCAATTGACATTATTATTTCATTTAACTTTAATAATGAAAATTTATCTTTCGCGACGTTTTTGAAAAACATCACAAAAAAACATTTTAAGTCAATATTTTTTGTCATAAAAAATCTTAATTTTCCGCCATTTCTCGTGCCAAAAATAATTTGAATCGAATCATCTTTTTGCGATGATTTTAAAAAACGTTGCAAAACAATTCTCAAAAAATACTTTTGCCGACAAAAATATTATAATGTCGTGGATAGTATACTTTTTTGCGACAAATTAAAATTCGTCGCAAAAAAACGTCACAAAAAATAATTTTTGTTGTAATGCCATATCTCTCTCTAGTTTCTTTGATTTTTGCTCTTGGGTTTTGGGAATTGAGAGAGAGGAAACGATAAATCATATAAAGGTTTCTTTAAAACCCTTAAAGAAACCTTTTGTACGGAGAAGGAAACTCTGTTGCATGGACGATTATTGCTGGATTTGAAGCCTATTATTCAGGAGTGTATATTGCTGAATGAGTTTTATCCGTATGTGTAGAAGACGGTCAAGGCAGACGTCCGTTATGCTTTTTCCAAAAGGTAAGGGTAATATAGTAAATTTGAAGAAAAATGGACTTAAAACCAAAATAAGTTTCCTTGTTAGACTTATCTCCAAACAAGTCCATCTAGGAGAACCCACCCTCAATTTTCACTTAAGAATATTTGGCCAAATCCCAACTCATGTTCTAGCAAAATTCAACCCAAACACTGATTTTTTTAAACTGGGTTTTGGTTTACACACCTAAGCTACACCCCTAGTCTAATGGTAAGAGATCTGAAAAATATTTGTCAAAAAGAAAAATACAGACACACTCAGAGGAATGTCACGGAGCATAAAGATACTTTTGGTTAGGTGTTTACTTGTTCCAACTCTTCCAAGTATGATTCGTCGTATCGGCAACGACTAGGAGAGCACCGAGGCGTTATGGCCGCGACATAGTGAACTACTTAGAGGTGATACATACAAAAGACTAGATAAATGAAGAAGTTGAACATGACCAAAGGTTCAGAAAGATATCACGACGTTCTTAAAATAGTATTAACCAATTTGATAATGGTGGCTCGAACAGATCGCGTTGACTCGAAGACGACTATGGTGAGTTGGGTAAAACATGTTAGGATAAGATTTCACCACTTAGGAGTTCACGATTTTAATTATTGTCTTGCAAGTGAATCCTAGTTCACCCAATGCGTGTGGTTTGCGAGCATTAACAGACATCCCGAGAAGATCACCTTGACATAGAAGAATTAAGTCGTAGAAGATTCATGAAAAGAGTACATTAGGACATTTATCTAAGAACTAATACATAGATGGGAGTTTCAAATTGAAATAGAAATGCACATAGCCAGAGCGATTAGTAAAATCTCACACGACTTAACTAGAAATCAACACATGAAAGCCTAAGGAAAAAAGATCGACAAAGCATCAAAAGTACCATTGGACTAAAGGCCAATTGGTCTACAAGGAATATATTGGACATAAACATAGCATCTGAATTTATATATACAAAGTGACTGTCTTAGTATGTTTGTATTTCAAGTAATCAAAGTTGGATTATGTCTGTATTTCAAATAAAATGGAATGACATACATTTAACAGATATTACTGGGGATAAAAGGTAACAAATTAATGTCAACAAATACTATCATTGATCATGAATTATTTAATGCATCATGTATAAGAACAAAATTTGTTTATACCAATCACTAAATTCTANTTATCACATACACTCATCTTCTTCAATCTTATAGAAGGCATCATGCCTTGGTCCTACTGAAGAAGTTCTCTTCCAGCAGTGGGCAGCTTTCCATTTTCAGAAAAATCAAAGTTTCTACCGTAAAGGACTACATAAGAAGCCAGAAAATTCTGCAATGATATTGGCATCTTGATACACATGCTTGATCTGGAAATGCAACTTTCCACAAAGTAATATCCATGATTTTCGGTTAACTATAGAAGAATATTACTAGAAAAAATAGTGTGCACCCAAAGATAAGAATAAGAAGAACGTACTGAATATTTCTCTTAAATGTATTTCATTCACATTCCTGGTGAGCTCATCAACACGAAGAACAGAGACTCAGGAATAGGTGAAGTTTTCTTGAAATCAGATGCAAATGTGAACATAAGTAAAAGCACTAATAAGTAATAACAAAAAAATAACAATTAAAAATAAAGTGAATATCATATAATCTTCTCATATTGTAACTTAAGCAGCCAAATGACCAGCAAAAATGCTACGCAGTTTAACAGACTAACAAACTGAGTGAGAAACAGAGGAGGACTTACATTAACTTGCCATGGATAACGAGAATGCTTACAGAGTTGAAATTTTTCCATATCAAAGTCTCTAACTCCACAATCATTATTGGAGGCTATAAAATGAACTGCCCGACCCATTAAGAATGCAATCAGTAATGTCTATGGATATTTCATCACGGTCTAGTCCACCTGCAGAATGCAGATTGAACATTTTTGATAAGATGCAATCCTTAGATAATTACTTTGCATACTCTGCAGCAATAACCCACCAACACAAAATTTTCTAACATAAGCAAGGTAATATAACTGGAAAATGCGAGTTCAGGTAACAATGACATACACCAAGGCAAGAAGATGGAGAATACTAGTTGGGGAAATTTTGAGTCGTACAAAAGTTTCATGCTCTAGCTCTTTCCTAAGAATATCAGCTGCTACAGGATCAAGTTAAACACCATGCAGGTCACCGGATACACTATGGGAACGAATCATGCTTGAGGAAGCTATAGGCATCTGCTCTCCATTAGCATTTACATGGTCTAGTAGATTCTGAAACAGGGTTTCACAGTCAAGAGCCTGCTCATTTAACTTTGAACAACAATTCAGTAAAAGGTTGATTTTTTTTCCAGAGAAGTAGAAAGTGAACCAATAATCTTCATTTCTCAGGATTTACACTTGCTAAGTATTTTGTAGAAGTTTTCTTATGCAGCATTTCCTACATCAACATGAAACTCAAATAAGAAAATGCAGTGAATGAGAAACACTACCACAAAGTAAAACTGTTAGTCAACTGCCTTGCCACGCATGCAAGTCAATATGTGATAGCCTTGATAACTTTCAAAAATGGTAGAACAAGATTGTTGTCACAAGTTCAATTCATCTGGTACAAAAAAGGAAAGAAATACATTAATAAATTATCAGTCAAATTTTTAAAAAACATACAGGTTTTCTAAATCTTAAGTGCTGAAATTTCTAGTTGTTCCCCGTTCGCTTTCACGGCAAACGGAGTTGAAACAAGCCGATTGGCCCCCTTAGCTCCAAGTTTTAGTTTTTATACTTCTTAAGTGTTGAACATAAAATGATAGTAAAAAGATACTAAGACTCAGGTTGCATGTAATCTAAATGCATTCTACTGCCTATGGTATGCAAGTTGCATGTTTTGTGGGGAAACTAATAGAGCAGGCTTGAAAAACTACTTAATAGAGTCGAATCTTCACTTAATGAGTCATTGTTTTTCTTGGAAATAACCTTGAATGCCCTTACAATTATGTGTAGTTATTTTTTTTTTTTAACCTTTTGCTGATTCTCTTTAATACTTAGATTAACCAGCTATTCTCCTGATGTAATGTTTTGGGGTACTTGAATGGTTTGGAGTCTTCATATAAAGGAATGTGTTTTAGTAGGCCATAAAGGTTATAAAGATAAGGATTTGGATCTCCTCAATATCAGTTATCAAACTTTCCATAGTTTAGCCCCCAATGCAAAGGCAATTCAATTAAACCCAATGCAATTCAATAAAACCCAATTCAATATCATACCAACAGGAACAAAAAAATTTAACCCAATGCCCATAGCTGTCCAAAAATTTAGAAACATCTAGAAGACTAACAGCAGAATCAACTAATTCCTTTCCACATACTTAGTTCAAGCTAAGCAATCAATCAAAAAACCAACAATTATAATGAAAACTATGACCCCAGCACTGAAAATAGATGCAACCCAATTCAAGCAAGATGTCCTGTGTGTCCCACTCATAGCTATAGTGTTATCAATCGCTAAAACCACAACCGTAATTGGGTCCAATAAATTAAACCCTTCAGCAAAGGAGTTCACTCGAATTCTAAGGAAATCCGCATCAGATTTTATCATTCTAGCAAAATAAGAAGACCATGAATGCCATAACCCAGCAGCACCAACAACGGCCTCTAGTAAAATATTACCCGTAGCTATAAAAGCAAGAAAATCACTCAACTCGATTCGAAGAAATGAGAAAGACCCACCTGCCACAGGTATTTCCATAGCAATTTCAGTGTAACAGAATACTGATAGCAACACAGAGAGGCCTGAAGTGGCATAAGAAAGAACTATAGTTAGGCCAGCATTGTTGTGGAGAGGTTTTGGAAGGAGGGTGCTGG